ATAGGACTAGGCCGGGCTAGACCTCGAGCGGCTCGAGCGCTCTCTCGACGCGCTCTCATTAGTCCAATTGTAAAAATTAATATCTCGTTTATTATTGCGAATATCGTAAACGGTAAAGGACTTTTATATTTATTTCAATCCCATCTACCTCCCAGTTCCCGGTGGTACACCTTACGCGGGACACCCTGTATATGTATACATACATGTTATATATTAACAATTTTTATTAAACAATATACATTGTTTTTATTAAATAATTTTATAATATAAAAATAAATTTCAACATATAAATTTTATAATTATCCAACAATTTCATTTTAAAGCATAAAATTTTATTTTTATGAAGGCGAATGTTTGTAGAACTAATAGTAGCTGTGAACACGTGACCGAGACTGTTGGTTAGATAGAGAGATCCGGGTCCAAACAGCTATCTCCATCTGACCGGTCGAGAACAAAGGCGTGCTCGTTCCAGTATGGTATATAGTTCAATGGTTGTCAGTTCCAAAAGAAGAAAATTATAATAGTCCAGCAAGCTCCGAAAAAGCAAAGAAAAAGGAGGAGTATGCGGTCCATACAATAAAATTGTCACGAGGCCTACCATTGCACAGGAAACTCCGACGACGATAGGAAAACCAAGTAAGATTAATTGTCATTATCCAACCAGTTGTGTCACAACGCACTGGCGAAATCAATTCGCGCTTGTAGCATTTGCCCATCTGGTCTGAGAGACCATCCTTCCTTTATAAAAATATCAGATGTGCGAGCGACGAAACTTCTAAAAGAAAAACTTGCATGAGATGCAGATATTACGTTGGAAGGTTCCCTGATCAAAAGCTGACCATAACGGTATTGGTAGAAGCCCATAAATAAAAAGAAAGGGAGCCATAAAGCCAAGCAGCTCAAAAGAGCTGGATTGTTTTCAAGATCTTTACGGGAACTCTGGAACTGACAATCTCACGACTCATTTACCTTTATTATTACTATTCATTAAATTTAACACTTATCTAGAAATTGCAAAAGAAACAATAAAAAAAAGGGGGAGGAAAATTCCGCATAAGCTTTTAACTTATAAGATCAACAAATTTTTATTAAACGAATTTTACTCCAATACACTATTATATAAACAATTAACACTACTTGAATTATTATACAAAATATATATGGGGCATTCTTTCTCAACTTTACACCCATGCTGCCCATTTTCTATTTAATCTAAAAATTTTGAAAAAATCTTAAAATTTACAGAAAAATGTAAGCTTTCCAATGGCGCGTGGCAAAATTATCAAATTCAATTGGATCATACTTAAAAATTTCAGAAAACCAAAAAAATAAATAAAACGGTAATTATTCAAGTGTAGCGATTATTC